TCTAATAATTATTTTTAATTTACTTATGCTTTTGTTATTTAACATAAATTATTGAAACCCTTTATAATAATTTCAACTACTGATTTGAAAAATTCTTTAGATATTGATTGCCATCTGGTATTTCATAAACTTAAAATTTTGAATTTCATAGAATATAAATTTGAAGTTACATGTATTTTACTTATTCTTTAGTGCTCTTTGATTTGAATATTTACCTAATTGTTATTCATTTATATCTGATTAAAATTTTAATTTCTTCATTTTTTATAATTAACAAACTAACAATTTTAATTGTATTAATTTTACAAAAGAATGATTTAAAAATTTATAACATTATTAATTAATCACAAATTTTCACCTAAAAATTAACTTTAATGTTTTAATGATCAAGAATAAGAGAAGTTTCAAATCTTTATATATTGAAATATGGTGATGAGGTCATTATTAATTTCATTATTAAAAAAGATAAATATTAATAAGCTAATAAAGTAATATTTTATAAATTAATTAACCTCTTATATTCTTAATAATTATATACATGAATAGGGTTAATTCTAATGATTTGATAAATTTTAAATATTCGTAATTTGAGATTTCATAAAAACTGTAACAATTAAATAAGGTTTATTATTTTTTTTAGCTTTAATTCCAACAACTTCAGCATTTGATGATGCCTATGCCTAGAAACGGTGTTCATAAGATTATATTGCATGTATACAAAAAGACTTGGTTGAGTATCATAATAATAAGTTTGTAATTATGAATGTGGAGAAACAAAACCATATTTTTGATCATAGGTTTTTAAAGTTGGAAATAACAAATTTATAAAATTGTAAGTTATATTGAGTTTAATAGACTTCAAATTCTATCCAGCAAATTTAAAATAGATAAAGTTTTCTGTAATATTTAATTAAGTAGTCGAAAGAAGTTAAAGAAGGCAATGGCTGTTATTATAGAATGGAGATATCAATGAAACATAAAATTCATCGATATGCATACAAAATCAAAAAATTATAGCAATTTAATCCAAAATACCAATCTCTTTATTATACAAATGTATTTTTTAATTCTTCTTATTTTCTCAACTAATTGCTTAAGGCAAACAGATTTTGTATATCGTAATAGATTAAATTTATAGATTTTATGGAGAATTATCATATTATGAATTAGCTATTTAGAAATCCTGTAAATTCAGTAAGGTAAATTTTTAAGGAGAAACATTTTAATTTTTAATTCAGATTTTAGCAAAACCCAAAAAAATAGAAGACAACAACATTATGAAATCTTTCAAATTTATCATTTTTACCCCATAATTATAATTTATTATTGAGTAATATTTATTTTTCATTAATATTACTTAATTAATTTCTTGAATTATCCTTTTCTAAGATTTATTTATTTTACTTATTCTTAATCAATAAAAAATAAATTGTAAGCAAAGTAAGGCTATATATTGATTTTGAAAACCAATAATTTTCATCATATATTGCAACAATAAGAAGTAATACGCTTTAAGATTTCCCACTAAATTAACAGCATCCATTAATACCTTCATTATCACAAACTGAAGAGGTTAGATATGAAGAACAAATTCCTTTATCAACACATTTGGTTCAATTTGAAATACAAGTTGAATCCCAACTAGTACATGCTGATAAGTTTGCATCATTTATATCACTTTATGCTGTGTAGTCTTTGAATTTACCTTCTGGAATCATATGCATTAAGTATCATTAATACCAAAAGTGTATGAAACTCATCTTCGTTTTTATCTCATAATGTAATAATTTTGAAGCTTATAATTTGTTGGAACAAATTATTCTGAAAAGGCTTAGCAAACGTTTAAGCATTTACAATTCGCAATTACATAATTGGATTTCCAACACTGGTCTATAAGCAGAGTTCAGGTTTTCCATTAAATGCATCAAGCAAACCAAGTGTTTCATGCTTCATTGTAGTTAATGTTACATTTCTTTATTATTTATAACTACAATCGGCCAGTTATATTAGTAGCTTCTCAACAAAATTGAGATTTATATGATGAGCATATTCATTTGGCAACTCTACTGGTAGTAAAATTTCAATCTTTATGATTCATAATAGATTCATCATAATTTGCAGATGTAAAATCTCTGTACAAACTGGTGATAGCAACATTTTACCAGTTGTATTTTTTCCATTTTTAATGGGGTATTCACACAAATAGCCTCATCACATCATGGTGTTGGTTAAGTACTGACTATTAATATGTTGTATTTGTAGTACATGATGTTTGAGATGTTTAATCTCCCGTCCAACACTATACTTAAAACCTCTGTCTGATGTTTACAAGTTGTATGATAATCTGAACATTATCAATCTAAATGTGTTAGGAACTTCATAGCATATTTACTAATACAATTAACGGAAAATTCTGAACAGCAGACCATCACTAGTTCTGCATATTTGATCAGTTTTTGTAAAGAATGAAAATTATGTTCGTTATTTCGTTTAAATCCTGAACAATAACTATATAACCTTAAGAGTTTGATTTAAATGAAAAAATGTCTTACATTTTCCATGATTTTAAAAACTAGCTGTTGCAACATCATTACATGCTCATTATTTGAAATTTAAATCAATATTAGCATCAGCTATGCATTAATCACAATTAGTATCTTTAAACTATTAAACGATGAATTTGCATTAGTTCCTCCTGTTGAGTAAATGCAAATTGCTGATTTAGTTTTAGTATTTTCCACTAGAGTATATGCAATTAGAGGAATATTTCTTACAATCATCAATACCATATGCATTTGCAAAAAAGTGAGTATTGAGCTATAATTTATATTCGGCATCGGTAATACCATTAGATTAATAGAAGAGCAAATTACTATTTGTGAACAATTATCTAACTACCTTTATTAAAATTTGTACATCCAAAACCTAGACACAT